GAAGATTAATTGCTAAATTAACAGGATTGTTTCGATGATTCAATATCTGGCATGCATACAGTGCATTTCAAATCAGTAGAATGTCTCAAAATGATAAACAAAGAAGCACAAGAGCTTGAGCTAGGAGGTAGATAGGGAGGGTAGGGTGGAGGTGGACAAAGGCAAAGTAAAAGAGATAAGTCTTCAGAGATTTTGAAAGCGAAGAACACTGGCACTTTGAAAAACACTGCCTTGCCTCTCTGCTTTTGGAAAGGAGTTCAGAAGGAGGAGACAAAAGTGTCTGAAAGCTCACCCACTGATAATGGAGTGGGTGGTGGGGAGGGCAAAAAAGCAGGCCAGAATTGGCAGGGAGTGACTTGAGGTCTAAGGTCACAGGAAATCATAAACATAGAGTGAGGCAAGTACATGGAGGCATTTGAAGGTCAAGAAGTTGAGTTGAGTCCAGAGGTGACGAAGGAGTGGATCACGGTTGTGTTGGTGATAACAGTGGTAATCTTGGAAGATGAAAGAAACCATATCTATAAGAGTCCAGAGGAAAATTTAAAGAGGAGCTGAGGGTCAAACACAATGTCAAGGTTCAGTGCAGGCTCCGTGATTTGCAACGAACAACCGGAGAGGTTACTGAGGTCCACACCTGAAGTGATTCACCAGACTACGGCACTATCTCACCCCTCACGCTGCTGAAACTCTGGTCCACGCCTGTATCACCTCAAGGCTGGACTATGGGAACTCTCTCCTCGCCGGCCTTCCCGGCACCTCCCTCCGCAAGCTGCAGGTCATTCAGAATTCTGCAGCTCGTGTACTGTCCCGCACCAGGACCACATCACTCCCACCCTCGCTCGCCTCCACCGGCTTCCCATCCCCCAGAGGATCGAATTCAAGATCCTCATCCTCACCTACGAGGCCATTCACGGCCTTGCTCCCTCCTACCTCTCTGACCTACTATCCCCCTACCTACCTGCCCATACCCTCCGTTCCTCTGGCTCCGATCTGCTCCACATCCCCCGCCCCAACCGCCCTACCATCGGTGGCCGGGCCTTCAGCCTCTCAGCCCCGAGGCTCTGGAACTCCATCCCCCAGTGCCTTCACCTTGTTCCTCCCTTTCCTCCTTCAAGGCCGGTCTCAAGACCTTTCTCTTTGACCGTGCCTTCAGCTCCCCTCTCAACTCTCTACCCCCTCCTCGCTCCCTCCCTTCCCTCCCCTCACCCTGACCATTTCCCCCCTGCTCGGGTCCTGACCCAACTGTCCAGCGCCTTGAAACGTCCTCCGGACGTGAAAGGCGCTCTATAAATGGAATCTTGTTGTTGTTGTTGATTCCTCACATGATGAACTCCCAAACTGAGCTGGACTGTCTAGAAGAGATACTAATACAGTTGAGATACTTCTCCACATGTATGATTTTCTAGGACAGATTAGACAGGAGGTTAGCCATAGTTTTCTCTTTGGAATTGAAAGACAATTGAATTTCAATGGTGAAAATATCTGCCTCTTTGCACTCAAAATTCAGTGAAACTAATAATCATTCTCTGCATATAATCATGTGTACATACATATATAGTGCACTGCTTGAATGACTTTTTAAACTAAGGTTGATCATTATCCTTAGACATCCATTATCTTTGCACTGTACAACAGAAATATAGGGCAATAGATAATAGATTCAACAATACATTCTATAATTAACAAATCTGTTATGAAACATCATGTGCTGTGCTCCATATTACAAATCAATTATTTCTTAATTAACTTATATTGAACAACGTACTCAAATAGGAAAGAAACACTATTGAGAGAAGATTCAGTTTGATTCAAGGAGCATTCCATGTGGTGATTTATTTATCCTTATCTTAGAATTCTCATACATAGCCCTGTAGCGAAAAATGCTTTTAAAATAATCTATCTTTGGAGATTGCCTACTTGCCTAATAGATTATTTATTAATGGTCGTTGTGCTTGGAGATGTTGAAGCTTGGAGACTCACAGATTCTCCCTCTGCTTAGTTTGCTGAATGGAATAGATTTACAATTCCTTCTTTAATTCAGAAAGAGGCATTTTATGTGCAGTTACCAGCTGTTAGCATAGCCTTTTGTTTGTCAATGTGCACAATTGCCTTTAACATCACAAAAGATTATTAATGGAGTGTGTACAATGGATATTAACTGACAATAATATATATAGGGCCAAAGTTGGTATAAAGCACAAAGGACTACAAAAGCTTTAAGGCTGCTCTATGCTCTGATGTTCGATTTGTATTGTGCCAACACTTGATAGACGCTTATTAATCAGCCCAGTCGTTTTGTTCCAAAATTTCAATGTCCAGCAGGTTTTCCTTCCTTGCATGTGCAGAAAGTATGATAACAACAACAATAAGTTACATTTGTTTAGAGCCTTTCACATTAGAGGATGTCCCAAGTCTTGGACATTCAGGATTTGCGCCTGAGCTGGGGGTTGGGATCAGATGAACCGGGAAGTAGGGGTAGGGGGGGTGACCAAAGGTGTGGTCAAAGAGGAGGGTTTTGAGAATGGCTTTGAAAGAAGCAAGGTGGGGAGCGAGGCGGAGGGATTGTGGAATGGAGTTCCAAAGGGTTGGGGCAGAGAGTCTGAAGGCCCAAGAAAAGCTGAGATAACATCATAGATGTGACTACCTCCCACCCTTTGGAAAGACTCCCTCTCCCAAAATATTTCCATTTCACACTCTCTTTTCCAGTCTTCAAAACTCTACCAAAATCCTACCTCTTCAACCACACCTTCCTCTTACTTCCTCCCACTCCACCCCCCCCCCCTCCCCCCCCCCACCACTTCCCACCTTACTCGTAGTTCCATACTGTCCTTTGCAAAGTGCTTTGAGATGTTCTCCTGCATGAAAGGTACTGTGTAAGTGCAAGTTGCTGCTAATACAATTAAATTATATTTACTGAAAACTCCTGATCACTCAACCTTGTTTTAACTTGTCACAGTTATCATGCTGTCAATACCCCGGCCTCATTTATTTATGTACTTATACATATGTTTAACTTGCCATTCTGAATAACTTGCCACTGAGCCCCTTGCCCTTAGAGTAACAAATTATCAGGAGTTTACTGAAAGAAATAATTTTGAAGCCAGTTTTCTATAAGTTTATTTCTTCTGTAAGATCTATGACTAAGAAAAAAGTCTAGACCCAAAGGAATTCTGCTCCATTTTTTAGTGATTTCCCAAAATTCAGCTGTGAATTACTGTATTTATTAATAAACTTGCACTGATTAAACCCACAACTGTTAATCCTCACTGTGGACATGGTTAGCCATATCAGTGACAGTCTGCAGACATATTCTGAGGCTCACAGTATGAAAACGTGCCCAGATTAAATATTATTTCCCCCCAAAATAGCCCAATCATAGCCCAATATTGAACTGAATACCCTTTGATTTCAAAGTTGCAATCGTATCTCACTTATGTGGCTCAATTTCCTGCACTATTTAATCCACCCTATAGAAAAGCTGACAGCCGATATTACTGCAATTCGCGAAAAAAAAATGATTGAGGCCGGTTTTGGGGAAGCTTGTTTTGTACGGGTGCTGCATATCATTCATTGATTCAATTCATTCATTGTTTCTCCGTCAAATGTGAACCTGTCACGTTTTTTTTGCCTGTAACGGGCATGCAATATTTCAAAATCTCTAAACTATTTTCCTGATTCCAGATCCGGAATGGTGTGATCTTTGCTTTGTCCACAAAATATATAGTTAATTCACTTTACAGTATATTCTGTAAAATGCTTTGAGACGTCTTAAATATGTGATAAAGTGCTATATCAAATGCAAGGATTATTATTATTATATTATTATCTGGGGAGACAGGTCGAAATGCACACTATTGTGTGAGATCCAAGATTGAATGGTGCCAAATCATTGGAGTCAAGCCAAATTCCTTATTTGAAGAGCAGCGAGGGGGAAGAATGAGAAACAATTGGTCCCATTCAATGTACAGTATGTACCGTAAATACAATTGAAAGGAAAATATTACTGCAATGCCAATAATTTGGTTCCTGTGATTTCGCCCACAAAATACACAGTCAATTTATTTTACAGTATATTCTGTGAAGCGCTTTGATATGATCAACAACGGGATGAGGCTCCGTATCAAACGCAAGGATTATTATTATTTATTAATTATTATTATTACCACCTTACCTAAAAACATATATACATTGCATTTTAATAATAATCCTTGCTTTTGATATAGCACCTTATCACGTCTTTGAGACACCTCAAAGCGCTTCACAGAATACACTGTGAAGTGAACTGATACTAATAATCCTTGCGTTTGATATAGCGCTTTTCAGGTCTTCTAGACGTCTCAATCGACTGTATATTTTGTGGGCGAAACGCGGCAGCCAATGGTGTCCCACAAACAGTCATGGATTGAGCGACCAAATTCTTCTTTTTTTTGGATTTTTTTTTGAAAATGAGTAATAACATATTCAAGACCTTGCGTGGCTTTTATCTGATTTCTTCTAAGGCTCGCTCGCCCGAATTCCTGCCTTGCTAGTGAAAAGCCCCAATGTGTCTGATGAGATCCTTGCCTCTCATTGCACTTTGGCCCCACGTTTGACTGTCCCGGTTTATACCGTCCACGCATTTCTCTTCTGCGGCCGTAAGAAGAGTGTGGTTCACATTCCATGTCAAAGGGGCAAACGTTTCATCGTTATGCGCAAACCCCCCCCCACCCCCCCACCTCCCCCCAAAAAAAAGACATTCAAAACGCATTCTTACATGTTGCAGATTTTAGTTCCAGTTCGACTTTTCCTTAAAGATTTCACGATTGCATTCATGAACCACAAATAAACTTTGGCCAAATGTCATCAGCCTCTACTTTGACGGTGATCAGAGTATGTTGGGGTATTCCCATAGTTGTTTTTCCTCTCTTGGCCACTGACATGGATCGGATCCCACAGTCGGTGGACGGTGACTTCTCTCTTTGCAAACCACCGCCTTACCTTACCTGTGAGTGCTCACTTACCGGTCATCAGGGAGTAGTAATTGGGATAGGAAAGGCTCGGGAATTCCGGGGTCAGGTAATCCGCTTTCACTCCCATTTCCACCATGGCTTTCAAACCCGGCAGCGCCTGCAGCTCCCGGTCACCGATGTAGTCGAAGCGAAAGCCGTCTATCAACACGAGTAAAAGTTTCCGGTGGGCAAAGCAGGGGATGGAGAGGGAGGACATCAAGATGATGAATGCACAGCTGGGAGAGCGCTTGGCCATGGTCTCCCCCTCTCTCCGGCTGTGGCTGTGGCTCTGTGTGTGTGTGTGTGTGTGTGTCTGTGCGCTGCAGCGTTCGTTGGCAGTGAACAGCCACTGGGGCGATGCCAATCAAATACCGTATCAATCATTACCCGCTGATACCCTTTTTACATGTCGTTAAATGCACTGCACCGATCTTCACAGCGACTTGATCAAAAGGGCACCCCTCCCACTGGCCCTGGTAGTCTTCACTGAAGCACATAAGGAAAGGTGTCCCCCCCCACCCCACCCTCCTCTCTCAGTTGCTAAATAGAGGGCGATTGAGGCTGCAGTCCAGCTGTTCAGGGTCATGTCATCTTTGGTTTCACATGATGCACATGAGTAAATCATTCAAACCTGGAACTTGGGACTCTCAGGCCAGGGCCAAGCACAGCAGCACCACAATATAGCGCTGGAAGCTTACAGGATTGCTGGCTTTCGAAGTGTTTGAAAAAAAATCTTACATGACTGTGGGTTTTTGAAATAAAAATATCCCCCGCAGTGTCCTGTCCTCCTTGGCTGAAGTCGCCCACTGTTGTTGGGATAGATCTGACCTCCTGGTACCTCAACTCAACTGGCTGTTCTCTACCCACCTGCCAAATACGCAGTCACTACACTTCGCAGCAAATCCTGTGAAGGGCTTTGAGATGTCCTCCTGATGTGAAAGGTGCTATATTAAATGGAAGGATTACTATTATTATTATTTATCTAGGAACAACCCCACCCCCAACCCTACCATCCCTGCCCTCCATTCCACCTGATCCCAACCCCCAGCTCAAGTCCAAGATTGTCCAGAGTCTTGGGACGTCCTCCTGATGTGAAAGACGCAATACAAATATAATTTGATGTTGTTATTGAAGGGAGGGATGTGGGGGTCTAGATATTAAACAGGAATTCTCTTTCCTGAGTCATAATTTCTGAGGCATCCCTACTGGTGCCCTGACTGAGATAGGATAACTCAACAATGATTGGAAATCGAGAATGGGACCTTGCTCTGGATTGGGGTGAGGCAATAACTTTAATAACTGGTTCTCTGATTAATCTTTTCTTTAAAAAAGAACAGAACTCAGACATAATTTTTTGTCACAATGTCTGTTTGGAAATGATATACATAAGAATGAAGAATACAATACCGTGTCACGTTCCTCATGAAGAAGGTGACCCTTTAATGTTAGATATTTTCAGACAAGAGAGACAACACATATAATAATTGTTGCATTTGATATAGCGCCTCATCACAGGCATTTAACAGAATATGTTGTGGATTGACTATATATTTTGTGAGCGAACGCTGCAGCCAATTGAACACAGCAGTGTCTCACAAACAGTCGTGAATTGAGTAAGCAAATTTGTTTGGGTGGACGGAGGGTTTATTACCCCCATTAGTCGATTGGCAATCCATCAATCAACTAATAACTGGATTTCTACTTACTACTAGGTAAACAGAGGCATGTGGAGTAAGGAAACATCTAAGGTTTCGCCCTGCCCAGGAATCGAACCCTACGCTACTGGACTCCACATGCACCAATTCATTCTCGGCCCACAAAACTGGGGTTCCAAATCGTATTTATAGATTTTAAGAAGTGATTTCTATAGACAAATTCATGAATTTTACCACACCATCACTCATTTAAGTTTCCCAATTTAAGAAAGGATCCATGCATGAGGAAGAAGGGATAGAGGGGTAAGGAGGGAGGGATGGGAGAGTAAAAACGGTTGAGATTCCTGTGAAGTATAAATTCTGCCATTGACTATTGGGGCAGAATGGGCTGTTTCCATGTTGTATCATTCCATGTAATTAGAATAAAAAAAGAATCCTTGCCTTTGATATTGTGCCTTATCACATCTTCTAGAGGCCTCAAAGGGCTTCACAGAATATAATAATTCTATGTGGAAACGAGTCAGTAAGTTTCTCCACAAATGTTGGCGTCCTCTTGATTTCAAATCTATAAACAGATGATCCTTGAGAAGTAGAATGTGACCTTTGGTTCTCTTCCATCTACCTTCATGTCTCACTTTCCTCTCCATGCATGTCTTTGCCTCCTTTCTTTCTTCCTGTATATTTTTCTTTTCCTCTCTTCCAATAACCTGGCTAACAATGCCCCAGATAAAACTGATCATTTATTTAATGTTTGTGGTGCATTGCAAATATGCTGCAACATTTTCTGAAACATTGCACAGTAAATCTTATGAAACCTATTTCAAATGCAAGGATTAGGATTATTATCACCTCTGTTCCTCCCTTTTAGGGCTCTTTTCCTGTCATTCATGTTGCATATCATGGCACAAACTTACAGTAAACGTCCAGTGTTTTCAGGAGTCTCTTCAGAAATTGATGATGATAAAGGTTAAAATTGAGCTTGTGTATACAGCAGACTGTTAATCAGTGAAGATGGAGCCTGTTGAAATGTTACGCCAGCTTCAATTAAACTATTCACAACACATTTCAGTGCAAAATCTCATCAGTCCATCTGCTTACTGCCATAAGTGCTCTTATTGAATGAACGTCTGTGTGAGTGAATACTCCCCAACTGTTCTAATGTTTGGCATCGACATTTCTTCCATGTAAAAAATTCTTCTCACACTAACATCTAACTTCAGTGGTGTGCTCAGATTAATGATAAAATTAAACCCTCTTATTTATATCAGCAGAGTAAAAACAAATCAACTCTATTCTGTACAAAGTTTTGTTCTTATTCCTTTGTTTTTGATTCTGGCTGTAATTTGCCGCATGGACAGTCAATGCAAACTTCAGTAATTTGCATTGAGACCAACCAGCATTTATATTGCACAATGGAACAGATGTTCTATAGAGGGACAAAAAAGCTCAGACATTGCTGGGCTAAGCACTGATTAGACACCTAATTGGCATTCAGCAGTGAAAAGGATGCTTATGGTGTCAATGCAGACGTGCATTGGCTAAGGTGGGTGGGGGTCTGAGTGATGTCAACTAATTGTGAATTATAAAAATATTATTAGGTATTTTCTTATCAATCAATTGCAGCAATGCAATCGCTGTTTCAGCGAGCATTGAGGAAATTTTAATTAGCTCATTATCTGAGTAAGAGGAATATTGTCATAGAAGTTACATTTCATAGAGTATCCTTCCTCTTTAGTAATTAATTTTTTAAAAACTTTCAATTGTTTTAAAATCATTGTTTTTATTCTTACAATTTTAAACCTATGAAAATTATACAGATGTATACTCCCCCATGTGGCTTCATTCTTCTTGCCAAATTTTCACGAGATACTGGCTTAACTCAATGTAGTGCGTATTATGTGTGATGAGAAAATAATCAGCATGCATGTCAAAATTTTCACTCTGTAAGAAACTGGTTAAATCAATTGCTGATTTGATCTAGAATGCACTGCCTGAAAGGGTGGTGGAAACAGATTCAATAACAATTTTCAAAAGGGAATTGGACAGGTATCTGAAAGGGAAAATGTGCAAGGCTATGGGGAAAGGAGTGGGAGAGGGAGTGGGACTGATTGGGTAGCTCTTCCACGATGGGCCAAATGACCTCCTTCTGTGCTGTAATATTCTATGATTCTATGATTGCGCATTCAAAGCAAGCAGTCATTGTAAAACAGGGTCACATGGGATTGTTTTGCACAAGAAGTATTGAAAGCATTTGATAAAGGGAAATTGACCAATGGGAGGACTAACTGCAGGGTCCTGTGTTAAGCCCGAAAAAGAGAACTGATGCAGACTATCTCCAGACAGTCAGAGCAAAATGGGAACTAGTGTATGTGAGTAAATGAAGTAGGCACAGAGAGAGATTAAGGAGAACAACAAGATCCGAAGAGGCAAGAGATTACCATCAACATAGATTATCTGTCAATCGTTATTGCATGGGTCATCCATTAGCCACTCACCACTCTCTTCCAATGGAGGTAACTGATCAGTACCGGACTCTGAGTTACATGTCACTGTATTATATAATATTATTAATAGTACAGTTGTTTGTTGTTTCCACTCTTTTTAATAAACCGATATAAACCCTGGTTTGGAGTCTTCATATTACAAGGTGAGAATAATTGCTGTTTCAGGCACTGAATCCTAACTTATTCACTGCCATCCAGCTTCCAACATGGCAGATGACAATTACATTTGCATATAACATGTCATTTTAAACACCAGATGGAGCTGTTTTAGGATTCTGCATCCTAGACCAGCTCTTATCTCCTGCGACACAGCAATTTACCTGGCTGGAATCAACATTTAAAAGTTTTACTTGGGTTTATTTATTTTTCATTTTGTCTGTTATCCTTCTAGGCAGATCAGGTAGCTTAGTGGTTACAACACTCGCCTCGTAAGTGAAAAGACGGGGGTAATAAATCCCTTAAAAAAAAGAAAAATGTGGCCAACTCAATTCACGACTAGCACATGGGGGATTAACTAACTCAAAAGTGACATGTTTAGCAAAGGAATGTCAGAATCGAGCTTGCCCTCTGCGGCGGTCTTGGTGGTCCAGTTCCTGAGCCAGGTAGGTCCGCAATACTCTATTTACTATGGAAATTCATAGTCTTCTTACATTTGGGACTGAACTTGAAAATGGAGGGAGAGTAGGTGTATGGGGGGAGGATGGAGGAGGCAGTGGCTGATGGAGAAGTGTTATATTTGCTTTCCGGGAAGATCCAGAATTATAGACATTTAGCAAATCACAATTTGCATTACGGTATGCAGTAATTTCTAACAGGATTCCTTTATACGGACACGGCAAGAATGTCAAAACTTCCAATGGACATGCAGGTCCAAGGGTTAATGAGAGATAAAACATGATTCCACACAAAAGGGAATGAGGCTATGGACTGAACCTCTCTAAGACTTGAACTCATATTTTTCCTGAATAGTTCTCAGCCACAGCTCTCAAAGATAAGTGAGGTCAAATGTAAAATTCAAAAAAGCCAAAAAAATAATGTCAAATGGAAATTAACAAAAACTTGAAAAGGGGAAGCAAGTGTGAATGAGAAAGTTAACAATGGACAAATCAAAAGGGGAGTAGTCGGAAATTTTAAATATTGCACAAAGAAAAAGAATATAGGGGCGAGGGTCAAATGCTGCATATGATATTACGAACAGTGATTAGCTGCAGTAAATTTCCAGTGATAGTGTTTCTTTCTATGAGAACGCTTTGTTTTGTCATTCCACCCAGTTGGTAAGCCAAAATCTCAATACAGGATATCCTGCTTTAGAAAGCACAGACTGTGTAAGAAACAAAGATGCATGTTTCTACCTTGTTCACAAAAGCTGTATTTAATTGACTTGCTT